TTCTTTTCTCTTCCCTCCCTTCTCCTTCTCATCCTTTTGGTTTTTCCCTTTTGGGTTCGATAGAACTTAGGTGCAGGTTCTTTCGAACCCAGGCCCTGGGTTTGGAACCTTCTTCATTCTTATTTCTTCTTTTCTCTTCCCTCCCTTCTCCTTCTCATCCTTTTGGTTTTTCCCTTTTCTGTTGAGAACCCAACCAAGAAAACTCAATTCGAGTATTTTTCCTCCTTTTCTTAGTATTTTTGAAAGAAATCCCATGATTTTTTCTCATTTGTTCTCATTTTCTTCTTCTTCTTCTTCTTTTCTTCTATTTCTTTGTTGGTTGCAATCATGCTTGGCTATCTCGGTATGGGATTTAGAGGTTTGTGTGACTTCTACTTGCTTGAATTTCAAAATCTAGCTATTGTTGGTGTTGATTGAAGGGATGTTGTTTTTTTTGCATTTTCCTTTTTCTTTTACAGATTTGGTATAAGTTTGCAATATGATTGATTTTTTTGAAGTTTTACAGATCTGGTATAAGTTTGCAGTGTAATTGATTTTTTGAATAAAATCTATTCGCCATTATTATTGTGCGAGGAACCAGATTTGGGTTCCATTAGAGCGAAGGTTTGGGGAAGAAGGAGAGGTTTGCTGATTTGGGTTCCATTTTTCTTCTGGTGATCATGTATTGATCGGAGTGGTAAGAGATGACCAGAGTAATGAGAGATGATCGGTGCTGAATGGGTTGCAAGATGAAGAGGCATCTAAGGATTGAGAGAGACGAGAAGGGGGAAAAAGAGGGGTTGGAAGATGAAGATGGGGGTATTTAAGGAATTTAAAATTTTTTAATATATAAACTAATTAAAATGACGTGGACAATAAAAATGCCACAGTGAGTTAAGTTGTTTTCCACATAATTAAAGATTTAAAACAAGAATTGATTTCGTGGCAACTTAACATGTCATTTGGCACTTCCGTCAACAGAAGGATGAAATTGGTCTCAAAAATTGAAGTTTAGGGATGTTTTTAGTACTTTTTGAAGTTTGAGGGTAAATTTAGTTCAAAAATTAAAGTTGAGGGACTGAGCCGGGTATTTAACCGCTGAAATTTCATCTTCTTCAATATTCATGGGTCTCTGTGCAGGCTTTTCATTCCGGAAATTTTATCTAATAATCTGCTAT